GGTAGAACGACGTGTCGGATGTGCTGTGCAGGTACAATCCGCTCAGTAGTTCTTGGCATTAGCGAAACTACCCTGGTGGTTTCGCTTAACCATTTAGCGAAACACTCGACCGTTGGAAACGAAGGGATTTCAGCGGCACGATAACTCCACTCGTACTGCTTTGAGGGGGGTAATTTCGTTACCAGTACATCCAGCAGTGTTGGATTTATTAAGTGATGCTAACTCTTCGCAGACTTGAAGAATGCCACGATGTTACGTACCTTTGATGCGAATTCCAATATTTGGTCGAGGCGACTCACTGTAATGTGCCGTAACTGTTGTACTCTTTGTAATTGAGAGCGTATGAGCAGGTCCGGACGGCCAAAATTTAATTCCAGCTCGGGTAGTACACTAGGAACGTTTTCGGGGTAAATCAGGAGCGATGTGACTGTTTGCCTTGCCTCACCCCTCAATGCCTTTTGAAGACGCATCAAGTTTTGTCTATTATTGTAATTGAACTCCGCTGTTGTATCGCGAAAACACGCAATAAATAGCGGCCAGTCTTCCGGGCTTCCTTCGAAAACTGGTAACGGATATAATCTTGCAGCGGCGCTGTCAACAAAGGCTGGCGTATGGGTAGACTGCATTAAAGTCATTGGTGGTTGTGGCTGCGGCGTCGTCGTTGGCGAAGACGACAGCTGATGTGCGGGAGCGGTGACTTCTTGCCTGCTACCCGACTGATGCAATATCGGAGGTCGTTGACTAATTTCCGCCTGATCGTATTCTATGCGCTCGCGAAGTTGCTGAATATCAGCTCGCTGCGTGTTTGTGTCATTACGAAGTTCCTGAATTGACTCGCGTAGCGCTGTGATTGAGGACAGTAGGATCGCAAAATTGTCTCGGGGCTCACTTGTTGGGAAACCCGTTATGCATCGGCTACTTGCAAGAATGTCTGCCTATGTGGCGGCAAAGTTCAAAGAACACACCAGCAGAAACAGCTATTGTGAGTATGTGGCGGGAAACTTGACAGAAGTGGCGGGAAACTTGACTGAATTGGCGGGAAATTCAACTGAAGTGGCGGGAAACTCAACTGAAGTGGCGGGAAACTCGGCGGACGTGGCGGGAAAGTCGACTGAAGTGGAGGGAAACTCAGCTGAAATAGTTGCAAATGTCGTTAGTTGTACAAGTATGTGGCGAGAAAATATGGCAGTAGTTTCACGCAAAAACGAATTGTATAACTTGTACGGCAGCAACTTCAACGCGTTGCTCTAAGCTCCATTTACTCTGGCAGGCTACGTGAAAAGGCACGGCAACGGCTCCTTTCAATAATGCGGCGATGATTTTCTGGGTTCCAACTGGAATCTAGGCGCTGTCGACGGTTCGTTGGGAATTTCCACGATTAAACATGAACTTATGGTGCTTGTTGAATTAGCCGAGCTCTGATTACAAAAAATGGCTGGTACTGTGCACAAGAATGCGGCGGCAAATCGGCAAATTCCTTTTAATTTGCAGAATCGGAGACAAGTTTTAGACCTTTGTAGAGTCTAGAAAAAGTGGGGGTGAGTGGGGGGGGGGGGGGNATAGGAACCCCTAATTTCAAAAATCCCCCTTTTTTCTTGCAACCCTATAGTTTTTATATAATTTGTTGTTAAAGTTTTCGTATAAACGATGAATAAGATAGCAAAATAATATCAAACTTGGTGTTGCCAGACTGGGATTTTGAATAATAAAAGCGGATTTTCCACCCTATAATGAATCCATACGATACACGATAAACGCTTGCATTTTGTTGTGCCGTATTACGAAATAAATTCTAGCGTATGAAATTCGATAGCTACCGTTTATCGTATATCGTTAAATTTTGGTATAACCATACGATAGCTATCGTATCAGCTGCTCAATTTCATACGCTTGCAAGCGGTTGTCCATTTTTACACGATACTATACAATTTAACAAAATTAAAGTGATGTAAGTATTAAAATGAATAACATGAAATTATGGAAACGATTTGAACAAAATACTGCAATTTTTCAGGGCAAAAACTGCGAGAAAGAAACAAAGTTGAGCGTGCTGCTTCTCCAAGGGGTACGGTTTAGTTATTAGCACCATTATTTTGGGTTGTTGTGTTCAAACGCGTTAGTCGAAGTTAAAAACTTTCACATAAACGTGTAGTCAAAGGATTGAGCTTTAATTCAAAACAAAGATTTCATATTTCCAAGCACTGTTTTATTGATAAATTCGGTTTGAGGATGCAAATTTTTATAAACACAGTAGAAACCTTAGGTTGGGGTAATTCAATAACGCTCCGTTGCAACACTCTGTTGGTATGGCCCCAGAGCAAGAAATCTCAGAGTTGTGAAAATCTTTAATATATTCGGTATGGATGGCGTTTTTTACGTGGGCGCACCTCGTTCTCTTCTTCTGTTAGAACATATGTAACAGCTTCTTTCGAAAGACGAAAGTTTCTCTGAAATCTAAAGAATTGTTTTTCATAATTAACAAATAAAACTCATTTCTGTTACTTACATTATCAAGTTCTTCTCCAGAGGATTGGAAAGCATCTCTTAATTGCCTTCTTACTGTATCCTCTATGCGAGTTCCATCAATTTGAATTTATATAAAACGCATATGGGGTTGAAGGAAACATGTTTTATCTTAATTTTGTATGACTTATGGAAATTTTCGCGACTTTCAAGTTCAAAATGTTCGCTTTGAAAATATATTAGGTGCAATCCCGTATTTCTCGGACTAAAACTACTAAAACTGTCAAAAAATAAAAATTCGCTCAGAGCGAGAGAGTAACATTGAAAAGTACGGTATCGCTTTCTAGTAAAAAATGGTAACTTCTGTCAACTTCAACATAACCTCCAAATTTTGGTTGTAAATTTTTGCTTTATTGGTATGTAAACACATGTAAATAACGAAAAATACTTTCATATTCATTAGAATCCGATTAAACAAGTAATTAAATACTTTTCAACATGAATTAGCAGATTGCACTTTTCTTTTGTTTACAATTTGGTTGCCAAACACACTACAACTGATAGTTTGACACATTTACCAGAATTTACCAATAAAAAATTCTTGGACTAATACTGGTAACTTCTGACAGAGAGAGAACCGTAATTACTCTCTTTTTCGTCCTCTAAATATTCGGAGAACCGAGTACGGGGTCGATTTCCAGTAAAATCTGACTTCTGATCTGATTTCTGACTTTCTGACTAGTCCGGCCTCGTACGGGATCGCAACTATTATCTAGACAAGAACAGCTTTTTCATTTAAATTCACAACAAATAGTAAACAAATACCACTGTCATTCACAATAGTACATCAATCGGGCTTGTGGAAACCGTAATACGAAATCTCATTTTATACGATACGCTTGCAAGCGTTTATCGTCTATCGTATTAAAATTCATAATAGGTGGGTTTAATTCGGAATTTTCACTTAGTATAATTCTCCTTTCTTTTCAGAGAACACCTTTCTGCGTAGGCGGCCTTCGGCCGCACTTAGAGATTATAACCCTCACTAAGTAGAATTCTCCTTTCTGTGTCGCCAAAGAAGGGGGCTGAACACATTTTTTTATCAATTTATTTCAGTCTGCGCCCCACGCTTTTCATTTTCAATCTCATAAGTTGTTTATAACGACTTTCTAAAATTTCAAAATGAAAAGTTATCAAAACAAATTCTATGGGACTGAGAAATATTATTTTCTACTTTTTAGTCCATTTATAAAAGCGTTGTTTATTAAAAAGTTTTTTATTTTTATTTTTTATTTTTATGTTTTAGTAGCACTTAATTAGTGTTAGCTGAGTAGTCGGTAAGAATGATCTGTATTCCAGGACTGAAATAAATAAATAAAAAAATGTGTTCAGTCCCCCTTCTTTCCATTTCCATTTATAAAAGCGTTGTATATTAAAAGGTTTTTTTTTATATTATTTATTTTCTACTTTTTAGTCTTGTCTGTATAAAATTTTGCAATAGATATTAAAATAATTCAACGATATTAATAGATAGGTGCACACACATGCATTTACATATGTGTGTACATACATATGAGCTCCAATTAATTTCATTTAAAGAAATGGCGTGTCCTCCATTTCCGCTGTAGCGTACGTAGGGCACAGATGACATCTACCTCGCCCTCTGCACTACAGATGTCGCCCCATGCACTAGACTTTTTATAGGAACTTTTAAAGAAATTGTGTGTCGTCTATTTCCGCTGTAGCGTACGTAGTACATATATCTAGATGTCATCTACCTCGCCCTATGCACTACATATGTCGCCCTATGCACTAGAATTTTTTATAGGAAATTTGCAAAGCAAAGGTTTTATGGTGTCGGAGACACAACATTGAAAGTTTCTGTAGCTCGTTTCTGTAACAATTCTCTACCAAGGCGAATTGAGATATGAATTCGCCGCCCTGTTCTCTACTGCTAATGAGTAGTAGAGAATGACGTATATTCTCTACCAGTAGAGAAATAATCGGTAGAGAAAAGTTACAGAAACGAGCTACTGGATCCACAACATTGAAAGTGTCTGCATCCACAACATTGAAAGTTTCTGGAGCCACAACATTGCAAGTTGATAAATGCGTTGTAATTAAGGTAAATTTTAAATACATTAAGTTCAAAAGAGCTAAGATTAAATACATCGCTTGTTCAATATTATTGTATAGTATTTACTTTCTTACTAACTTTTGCAGCTCTGTAATGTTGTACTGAACATTGAATTGTTTTTACGCGTTGCAACCCTGAAATGTAAAACTGAATATGGTTTTTGTAATAAAACTCTCTCTTGAATTCTGAACTTTAAAAGAAAAGACACGCGGTTTTTAACTTAACCTGAATTTTATAACAAGGTTCGGATTACTATTAATGTTTTCGCAACATTAAATTGGTGCCGAAACCCGGGAAGGAAAGCAAATACAAGCGACCACAAGAAATTTCTACGCTTAGCTTGTTAACCAATTTTTCCTTCTGCACGCTTGAAGTCGCGTAATATCGCATATTTAAAGAAATGGAGTCCCTTAGCGGCGCAATTGAGGAGCAGCGCCGAATTCAAACCCATCTCACTCGAATCCAGACTAACTTCGAGTCTAAGCAATCGTCTGAGATCTCGAGAGGTTATGTTCAGAGTCTTCTCGCGGAGATTGATACTATCTTCCAGGACTTTAAGCGCGGCCATGAACAAATCTACACTCTTATTCGCAACGCATCGCTTGACGAGGACGACATTCCTTATCTGAAGGAGGAAGTTTTCTATACCTGCTACGATTTATATATCGCCTTTAAGTCTACCTTACTTGATCGACAAAATGACCTCGCGCCATGGCCGTCGCCGCTCACGCACGCAAGCACCTTCGCTATGGCCACTACACGGAATGACACTACCGCTGCTTCTGCACGACTGCCAAAAATCGACTTGCCTAAGTTTTCTGGAGACTATTTGGAGTGGATCCCTTTTCGCGATATGTTTCTATCACTGGTACATAATAACGACGCCTTAACTCCGGTACAAAAATATTTTTATCTAAAGGGATCTTGCATCGGCACACCTAAGGAAATGGTGGAAGAATTTCCAGCTACGGATGCCAGCTATGAAACTGCCTGGGCTGCCTTGGTAAGTAGATTTCACAACAAAAGAAAACTAGTGGATCAAATTTTAAAAAGGCTCGTCAATGCACAAAATACCGATGGTGGTTTACAAAGCGTAAAACTGCTGCTCGACCTCACTCGCAACAGCCTTGCTCTACTGAAAACTTTAGAAATAGACACCTCTAGTTGGGATCCCATGCTAATTTTCTTGCTCACTCAAAAGCTTGACAGACAAATTAGAAAAGAATGGGAGCAATCTCTAAATGGTCGCAGTGAAATTCCTCCAGTACAAACTTTCCTTAAGTTTCTCGAAACTACTTATCGAGCGCTTGAATTTATCGAAGAAGAGGACACATCAAAAAAGGTTGTGAACCGCTCGTACAGCGACAAACAAAAACAACACAAACCTGCTCGCAGACAATTACATGCTAATGCAGCTACTACTACCGCCAGTTCAGCATCGTCAAATTATAGCTGTCCCTGTTGTCAAAAACAACATCTCTTGTACAAATGTTTTAAATTTTCTGCACTACCTGCTGCTGAAAAGCAGAGCTTTGTCCTACAACATAGGCTATGCCTAAACTGTTTAGGTAAGGGTCATACATACAGTGAGTGCGAAAGAAATTCCCGCTGCCAGGCCTGTAAGCAGCCGCACCACACTGTTATTCACAATGCATTCGCTCTTCGCAACAATAAAAATGACGAACACAAACTTTCTGCAAATCTCACAACTACTGCTCAAATTATGAATGCAGAAGTGCACTCTGCGACTACTAACGCTCAAGTCTTACTCGCTACTGTACGGGTGATTATTGAAACACCTGAGCGACAATTTCACTTGAAAGCACTCGTTGATCAAGGCGCTCAAGCCTCATTCATAACAGAGGACGCCGCTCAGTTGCTCAACTTGCCAAAACGAAATACCAATGTTATTGTAGCTGGCATTGGTGGAGCAAATGCTTTAATTGCTAAAAGGTCTCTAACTCTATGCTTGCGCTCACAATATGAAAAAGACTTTAAAATGGACTGCACCGCGTTTATTTTGCCGAAATTGACATCATACAAACCATCGCCTTATCACTTGCGCGGTATGCCAAATTTATCCGGCATTTTTCTTGCTGATCCAACCTTTGCTTTGCCCGTCAATATCGACCTAGTTTTAGGCGGAGATGTATATGGCGATATCTTACTCTCTGGCATGAAAAAGTACGAACGTGGCATTTTCCTACAAGAAACTCATTTTGGATGGATGATTTCTGGTCCATCTACTACAACTCCTTCACAACAAATTTTGCATACAAATTTATGTACTCTAGATGATCAGCTTCGTTTATTTTGGGAACAGGAGGAACTGCACGAAGAGCGCCAGCTCTCTTCCGAAGAGACAGCCTGCGAAAACCACTTTTTGCAAACCTACAAGCGGGATAAATGCGGCCGGTATACGGTTCACTTACCTTTTAAAACCCTATTTGCACAGGGTAAGCTCCCAGCATTTAGTGGCACCGACTTTAACGCTGTTAAAAGACTTAAGCAGCTAGAAATGCGATTCAAAAATCAACCTAACTTTGCAAAGCTTTACAAAGATTTTATGGCAGAATATCTAAGCTTAGGTCACATGCAAGAAGTCGGCTTTTATCCAGAAGATCTGCAAGAAAATTCATATTTCTTTTGCCATCATGGTGTCTTACGGCAATGCAGCAGCACCACCAAATTGCGCGTTGTATTCGACGGTGGGAATCGTTGTCCCCCTCAACCTTCTCTCAATGATGAACTTGCTGCAGGGCCGGCATTGCAAAGTGATTTGTCAAGTATTATTTCTCGATGGAGAAGTCACAAAATAGCTTTTACAGCCGATTTAGAAAAAATGTTTAGGCAAATCAACGTTTGTAAGGAACATCAAAATTATCAGTGCATTCTCTGGCGAGAGGATTCTACAAAGCGAATTAAAATATATAAACTTTGCACTGTCACTTATGGGACAACTTCTGCTCCGTATTTAGCGATTCGTGTTCTACGCCAACTAGCCACTGATGAGCAAACAAATTATCCTCTCGCAAGCCAAGTGTACTTAAATGATACCTACGTTGACGATATTATATCAGGTGCAGACACGAACGCGGAAGCAATCGAGCTACAACAACAACTCAGCAGGCTGTCATCTAGTGGCGGATTTAATCTTAGAAAGTGGAACTCAAATTCTGCCGTGTTGCTACAAACAATTCCACCTGAGAATAAAGAGAACGCCAATTGGATTGAACTTAAGGCAGAGAACCTCGTAAAAGCCCTTGGTCTTTTTTGGGACACGAACGAAGATGAATTCTCTTTCAAAATCAACTTTAGTTTTGCTTCCGCAATAACTAAGAGGAGTATGCTCTCTGATGCGGCCAAATTATTCGACCCACTTGGTTGGCTGGCGCCTACCACAATTATCGCTAAAATCATGTTCCAAAGGTTATGGATGGAGGGACTAGATTGGAATGACCCACTTCCAACTAAATTAAATGCTGAATGGTTGCAGTATCGAGATTCTCTGCATGAACTCGAAAGCATAAAGATACCAAGGTGGCTTGGATGCAACAAATTTAACAAAATTGAGTTGCATGGTTTCAGTGACGCCTCACAGGCTGCCTATGGGGCAGTTGTATATGCGGTAGTCTATAACAACTCAACTATTTCCGCATCACTTATTCAGTCAAAAACTAAGGTAACACCGCTCAAAACTGTGTCAATTCCGAGACTGGAATTATGTGCGGCGGCGTTACTGGGTAAACTCATGGCGAAAGTGAAAACCTACTTCCACGCGGATGCACCTGTTTTCTATTGGACCGACAGCACAGTGGTTTTGAGTTGGATACGATGCCATTCCACGCGCTGGTCCGTGTACATCGCCAATCGCGTAGCTGAGATTCAGCGCATATCTGATGTAAGTCAGTGGAGGCACGTGCGTACAAGCGAGAATCCAGCGGACTGCTTAACACGCGGTCTGACTCCAAAAGAGCTTAAGGCACATACTTTGTGGTGGTTTGGGCCGACTTGGCTTACTGGGCCAATATCGAACTGGCCACACGAGAACTTAACTTTCGAAACTTGTTTAGAAGAGCGAAAATCATATATCGCTTCTCACGTAACTACGTTAGCTGAAAACTCTATGGAAGACCCCGATTTTATTTGTAAATTCTCTTCACTCTCTCGGCTTGTGCGCGTCACCGCGTATATTCTACGCTTTTATTATAACTTAAGAGCAGCGCTGCAGCAACACAAAATAGAGAACAATTTATGTGAGACGGGCTTTCTAAAATCACGCGAGATTAAACACGCACTCGCTATAATAATCAAGCAGGTACAGCGCATTGATTTTACCCAAGAGATACACTGTTTGGAAAATAAGCAAGCTCTTAACAAAAAGAGTAAAATTCTTCAATTAGCTCCTTTTCTGGATGGTGATAACTTGCTAAGGGTCGGAGGTAGAATTTCGAAGGCGAAAATTACATTTGACGTCAAACATCCAGTGTTATTATCAAAACAATCGTTTTTATCGTTTCTAATATTCACAGACGCTCATCACCAAACTCTACATGGCGGCGTTCAGCAGATGCTTTCGTTTGTCTCTCAACGTTACTGGATTCTATCAGCGCGCAGCTTAGCAAAATCCGTGCTCCGTAAATGCGTAATCTGTTTCAAATACACAGCGAAGGTGCATCAGCAGCAAATGGGAAATTTACCCGCAGTTCGTCTTCAACCAACTAAACCGTTTCAGCACAGTGGACTCGACTACGCTGGTCCCATAACACTAAAGCTTTCACTACTTCGCAAAGCGGCAACCACAAAGGGCTATATCTGCCTGTTCATTTGCATGTGCACGAAGGCCATACACCTTGAAGTAGTTTCAAGCTTAAATACTGACGCCTTTATCGCCGCATTTCGTCGCTTTATATCAAGGAGGGGTCGATGCAGCGATTTATACTCTGATTGCGGTACTACGTTCGTAGGGGCTAACAAAGAGCTAAAGATTTCCTTTCAGCAGCAAAAGGCTTCGCTCCCCGAACATCTTGCTGCCGCACTTGCAAATGAAGGTACGACATGGCACTTCATTCCGCCCGCTTCACCAAATTTCGGAGGCTTATGGGAAGCGGCGGTTAAGTCGACTAAACATCATCTAAGACGAATAATGCGAGATCGGGTGCTTACTTTTGAAGAACTCAGCACGCTTCTTGCACAAATTGAAAGTTGCTTGAATTCTCGGCCGCTCTGCCCATTGTCAGCATATCCCACTGATCATCAAGCGTTGACACCTGCACACTTTCTTGTAGGTGAACCCACAACTTGCGTCTCAGAGGAGAGCCTGCTTGACTCTAATATCGACCACCTGACCCGCTGGAAACTAGTTGAGCGCCTAAAGCAACATTTCTGGCATCGATGGGCTAACGAATACTTACACACTCTACAAACTCGCACCAAGTGGACACAAGTTCAAAAAAATCTTCGCGTCAACGACATCGTTTTGCTGCAACATGAGCGTAGCGCTCCTGGCTATTGGCCGTTGGCGAGAGTGCATGAGATACATCCCGGTGCAGATGGTCTAGTAAGGGTCGTTACGCTTTTCTGTAATGGCAAACTTGTGAAGCGGCCGATTTCTAAAATTTGTTTGCTGCCCATCAATGATAACACTGGCACCACGGCCGATGTTTTGTAACTTAGCCAGCTTGTTTCTCGCTGACATGATGAACCTTAAAAACTTCGTTTTTGCTGCCGGAGAATGTTCAATATTATTGTATAGTATTTACTTTCTTACTAACTTTTGCAGCTCTGTAATGTTGTACTGAACATTGAATTGTTTTTACGCGTTGCAACCCTGAAATGTAAAACTGAATATGGTTTTTGTAATAAAACTCTCTCTTGAATTCTGAACTTTAAAAGAAAAGACACGCGGTTTTTAACTTAACCTGAATTTTATAACAAGGTTCGTATTACTATTAATGTTTTCGCAACATCGCTAATGATGTAGCGCAGAGAAAAATGTTCGCAGATGTGTGACTAAGGCAGGGCCTGAGTGAAATCAACGTCTAAAGAATTGAAGACTAAGTTAAGTTCCACACAAGTTCTAGAGATCGGAGCGTTGGCACCATAACTGCTTCTAGGGAAACTTAGTTTAAGGAAATCGCAATGGCGGAGGATTCTAGAAGAAAAGGGCAGTCAATTGAGCCAGTTATGATGTTAACGACAAACGTGCACGCTAAAATGGGTCATCTGTCATCCAGTGTTGTAAGGTTGATTAGTTGGCAGCGGGAATAGTAAGAGGGTAGTGGCAAAGAAAAATTTTATAAAAACTTTTTGAACACGTTCTAATCGGTTAGATAGAATTTTAGTGTAAGGCCTCCAAATAAACGTTACATACTCCAGTTGTTTAGGCCTCCGGCCTAAATATAGCGCACCACCCTAATGGGTGGTAATATAGACCGTATGCACATACACGTATACATGTACATATGCATATGCGCGTGGATCTGTACAAATTAAAGTTATATTCACTAATACGCATACGCGTCTAATTTACCCGTTGTACAATAACTGATTTGAGGAGAAACTGAACGAAAAGTCATTGTTCGGCGGGTCAAACGGATCTAATTTCAATTTACCATGGTCACTTCCCTCAGGAATTCCAAAGGATCACCAGCTATCACGCCACATCAAGGTAAAATCCACCAGACAATATTGCGTTGTATTTTCACAACCTGTTGCCAATAAATTTGTAAGATTAATTATATACTCAACACTAAAACCGAGTTGTTTTTCTTCCCTTTTTTATTCCTTTACGTCTGAGCGCTCCACTCCGTGGCGTAAATATTGGTCCCTGCGATCTGTGGAAATAATAAAATCTTTAACACAGTGCAACAAACTACATACAGTCCACTACTTTATCACACTGAGCTACAAGAGGCACACCTAATTGCCAGACCACAGCATCGGTTGCAACAATCACTAACCAAGCTTTTCAAAACCACATTCGCCACTGAAGCGTCCACAACACTAAGGGCCGGTTACTCAATGTCTGGTTAACACTAATCTCCGTTTAAACATCATTATCGACGTGTTCGGCTCCATGCATATAACATGGAGTCGGTAACGTCGATAACGATGTTTTACCGGAGATTAGTGTTAACCAGACATTGAGTAACCGGCCCTAAGGAGTTAACCAGTACTTGCCATTGGACCCCACATTCAGCCATTAGAAAGGTACGTGGTTGAATTCCAGTGCACTTTTTATACCCGAGCGCACTTGTGCACAAGGGTATATTAATTTTGTTCACATAACGGTTGTTTGTAACAGCCAAAACGAATCGAGATAGATATAGACAAATGTATACATAAATGATCAGGATGAAAAAAGAAATCGATTAAGCCATGTCTGTCTGTCCGTCCGTC